GGGTCTGACACCGTACTCTAAGGGCCCCATTGCAGCCTCTAGGCGATAGGTATCGCCGAAGCGCTATCGATGGGCCCATAAGTGTAGGAACCATGGGTGCAGTGGGCGCAGTTGCACCAACAATAATTCTGCAGTGAGTGCAGACAATGTATTCTGCATCCACAATAATCTGGAACAAAACCCCCTTTCCTCAGCAACACTACTTTCCATGCAGCACGACAAATTTAGGATATTTTGCCCACTATCCGTCTTTCGAAGCATTTGCTACTGTAATGGTCTTCAAAATTTGCATTGTGCTCAAGTGAAAAAAAAGATTAAACGGAAGTCGGAACACATGTGTGAACAGATACCGATGAGCCACTGATAAAAGTTTTAGCACGATGATCTTAAAAAATGGCAAAGTTTTTTTTTTTTTGCAAAGAAAATTGCAAAGTTAGCCGGCTTTATTTTTGCGGTAGTCCATTCACAGTTGCGTGAATTATTGGCATAATCAATGCTTCAAAATGCACTTTTCGGTACCTTTTCGACATGGTGCACCCTCAAAGCTCTCAATGAGCCTCCGCTCGGATGCCGCTGCCTACCCCCCCCCCCCCCCCGCTTCACCGGCCATGGCCTAGGTTTCTGCACCCGTCCACTACGCCCGTGGGCCCCTTTAAGCTAGCACCGGGCCCCCCGGGTCAGCGCAGGGGCCCCTTTGCCAAGTTGGCCCCCCCCCAAACTCCAAGTCTGCGACCGCCCCTGTCAGATTCAGTTAAGGATTTTGTCACTTAAAATGTGCTTATAAAATATAATCATCATGCTGATCTTCTCTACAACGCTAAAACTCTTAAATATTTCTTTTTCAGCTATCGCATAACGCGACGGTGAACGGTATGACACTGGGAATTTTCTGTACATAACTCGTCATGCTTACTGTAGCCCTGACACCCGCGGGGGGTTTCTTGTCGTGCTGCTCGTTGCATTTCCTTTCTGCGACGATTGCGGTGCGTCTGATGCATTTCCTGTGGGTGACGGTTCTGGCGCGTCAGTTTCATATGTGGATGTGGTTCTGTGGGTTGAGTGTAGGGTCTGATGGAAACATCCTCTGTGTGTCACTGAATCATTGCCGGAGTTTCCCTCGAAGCTTCGCGGTCTGTGCGTCAACTAGACCAGAGACCACAGACAAGATAGACCAGAGACCACATAATAGACAGACCAGAGACCAGACAGACCAGACAGTTCAGAGAACAGAGACGGCATACCGCTGACCTGACCGTAGACGGATATAAGAGAATGTGGATATTCATTGATCCGAGGATTTGATACAAGGTTAGCTAAAATTGTGCTGTTTTTGCCACATCTTGGGTTACAAATCTTATTATCCTGAACGTTATAGAATAACACGAGTTTTAAATTACATTATATTTTAGGTGCTCGGTATCAGGTACACCTATACCTACAAAAAGTAAATAATAAATCTAACTTCTGAAGGCTCAGTCAACTACACATTACTGCACGTAATTGATGTTCTCCCATTTCGTTCACGCCATATCAGCACCATTATAAATGTAACTCAGTAGGTATGGCTGGAGCTGTGATCGCGACCTCTGACCTTTGTGCCGCGGGCTTATTACCATCCGGGACCAACATAGGCTTCCAGAGGCTTCTCAGACTCCGGCGAACAGCGCCGGTAGCCATGGCAACCGGCTGTGATGGCACCGGCTGCCATGGCAACTGGATGAGGTGCCGCGGACCTCTGGCGTGATGCCCTTTATCACGTGCAACAATGAACGAAAATGCTTGGATTTGATGGAGGATACCTTACGTTTGGAAAGAACATCGCGGCTTAATAGTTCGCTATTGAGTATTCTATCGACAATCTAGCTGCTAACACTTCGTTTCCGTTGTCGATTCTAGTGCAGCAAAATCGATCGACCCATGAACGTCCAGAAAGCAGAAGCAGCAGCATCTCAAATTGTGAGATCTCTTCTGAGAGCTGTATGTGTCTCCAGGGCTGCGGAAACTATCGATTTTTGATGACTCCGACTCTGACTCTGGCTTCCAAAATTGACAGCAACCCTGGTCAGAACTCTCATCCCCGACTCCGACTCCGAGTCCGCAGCCCTGCAGTGTATTTTGTTCGACCAGTTTATGCGATCGCGAAGCTTAGCTGCTCCGAACTGCCTGTGTTACGGAGGAGTAATAGTATGCGAGTTAAAGAGGTCTGAGCGCTCGTGAACGCGCGTTTGAAAGGCTCCGTACGGCAGAAAACGTCCTCTTATGCATCAATACACGTACCAAACAACATTGAGGCATGGTTAAGGGTGCCATGGAAAAGCACCACCTACGCAATGGTATGCGCAGTGCAGCTGCATTCAATGCATGAACAGGTTGTGTCGATTGTTTATGTATGTGGGGACAGCACTCGTTGGCCGGGGTCGGTAGAAGAGGATACCAACTTTTTTGTTTATCAATACTAAATCGATATCTGTTTATCAATACTAAATCGATATCAACTTGGTGTTTTACATTTTGATCCGAATATTGTTTGTGTGCGTCTTGTTTTCGGTATTGTAAATTCTCACTGCCGTATATAAAAAAAACTGAATTTGGTGCAATTGTGACTTTCTTTGATACCTGTGACTTTCTGTGATTTCTGATTTTCCATTTTTCGTTTTTCGTTTTTTTCTAACGGTGTTGGTTGGTATTTTGCTTGGTATGGGTATCCAAACGATCTGTAATTGACATCACTAGTCGGGGGCCCCAGCTAACCCCCTGCTCTCTAGGGGGAGGTGTGGGGGAGGAGGGGGGGGGGCTGAACCGGTATGAGTTCCACCGACCGGGGAGGAATGTATGCAAACATAAACATTGGGGACGCGTCTGTCCGGGCAGACCGAGAAGAGGGGCAGGGGCGTAACCAGGGAGGGAGTCAGGGGGTGTCTGATGGGGCTTCCTTTGTGGCAGTGGTGTTTTCAGGGAGAGAACCACCTAGGGTCCTCCAAGACAGTTATGGTAGCATAGCCGCATCCAAAACTGAGCACGAGTCCTGCTTTGTTAACCCTCGCCAATGTAGGGGGGGGGGTTGGTGCACCCCCCCCCCTGAGGTTTTTCGGAAATAGTGCAAAAACGGCGGCGCGCAGCGCCGCCAAATTTTGGGTACCTTATGGGGCAAACCTTGCGCATCTTTTGATAAAAAAAATTTGACCGGGTCATGTCAGGTCACGGAGTTATGACGTCACAAAGGGAACAGCCTCCGGCCGGATTTTCACAAACTGAGTGCCAACGCCCGAGGTTTCCTGCCGGTGGTACGGACATCGGTTGATGGATCGTGATGAAACTTCCCATGCATGTTGGGGCAAGTATTGGCTATCATATGGTATAAGAAACTTGACCGGGTCAGGTCAGGTCACGGAGCTATGACGTCACAAGAGGAACAGCGTCCGGTACTATTTTTGAAAAGCGCCCGAACCACTATTTTGCTAATTCTTGTCACCTCAATGGGAATATGCAGCAATATTAGCTTCTATAGGGAGCAAATGGACCTTCCAAATCCAAAAATACAATCAGATTTCAAAAATTTAAATTTTGATTTTTCGAATTTCTGCCGCCGACTGTGACCTTGCCGACTTCCGGCGCTCCCAACGCGCCATTTTTAGAGCTAGGGAAACGAAATACATACCAAACGATAGAGAATTGATCAAGGAACACGATAGTGAAGGTTTCAAGTCGATATCTCCCACCGTTTTGCCGCAATCGCCGCGGAAAGTTGAAAAAGTCTATTTTTCCGAAAATTTGACCTTTGACCGGTCAAAAGTAGGTCAAATGTTGACCTAGGACCAAAAAATATACCACCAATCGCGAGATCTCGTTGAGAGCAATCCGTTGGTTTTTTCCGCTAAGCTCTACGACGCTCCGTTTTCAAACGCCAAGGGGGGGGGGGGGTCGCACCAACCCCCCCCCCCCTGCATGGGCGAAGGTGGCAGACCGCCGTTTACGGGCGAGGGTTAAGTCGTAGTCTCACTGTGATGTGTAGACTGACATTTTCGAGGAATAGCTACCCCACAAGGCACAAGCAATAGTCTGCAAGAAACAAGGGAACACGACATTCAAACATCATTGAATTATCATAAATCACTAACATTCTGCGCATATATAGACCAGTAAAATTAAGATTATGGTACTCAGGCGTCATGTTAATTCGTAATTTCGAAACTCCTTCATTTTTCCTCAGCATTGTGGTCTGCTGTTTTATGGAAACGAAATCTAGTAATTATATGCAATGTACTTTTTCTGAGCGGATGTTGTAATACCTAAGCTATATTTAAATTTCACCGGATGACCCAGTTAGGTTGATTTATGTTTGTTTTTAAATTCGGCTATCACATCGCTGCAATGTGTGACACATTGTTCGTGGAGTAGTGATCAGACCGTGTTTGGTCCGTGTCGGAAGTATACGCCGGCAGTTGTTACCGATTTTTGATGGACCGTTGACGCCTTGTTTTGGCTGTGTAGCTGCAGAAGCGCGGGGTACTTCAAGGAACTGTGTTTGCGTCCATTGTTTTCTGGCTGATCTGTTCGATATGCCATATTTGATGTTAGGAACATTGGCAGATTATTTTCTGTCCACTATTGTACGGAAATATTGGTATGAAGTAACAATGTTATGCCTGTTTTGTATGTGCACTGGATGTTTGTTGTACAACCATGTATTTTCGTGAAACACTTCTGGTTCCATGTGATTCCACCACCCTCAGCAAACTGTTTGTGTTAAGTGTGTTATATCTGAAATTTCTCACTCCTGGAGCGCCTGTATTGAACTCGATGTCTTACCTGCGTAGTTGGAATACTTCTCCCTGTGTTCTGTCCACCAGTGACGCCATTCGTACCTACTCGTGTGGCTCCATGCAGTGTCTAACCGTAGTTTTGTCTTTTCCAGCAGTGACGCCATTGCCTGCGCCCTGCAGTCTGTACTCTCTCGGCTCTATTAGTATCTAACTTGTCCGTTGTTTTCTCTGCCCCAGTGACGTCATGGCCTGCAGTCCGTACTCCCGCGGCTCGAACAGTACCTCTCCACCGTCTCACCACAGCCCCGGACAGTACACAGTCAAGGCCGAACCGGCTCTCCACCAAGGTAAGGCTCGTCTTACGGTAATTATGGTAATTTGGCGCGCGTGTGGTGTGGTTTATGCATGCGTATGAGGTGGGTTCTTCGATAGCCTGCGGGGACGCACTTAGTGACAACAAACCACAAAACAGTGTGCGACTCAGGAACAGGAAGGTTACTTGGAAAGCTTGTATCTGTCGTTAGTGCTTGATAGTTGTATCGGGACATTCCGCATAATAGATAGATAATAGATAACAGTAAGTTTGTTGAAGTCATTGTGGCGTCTACTGTTTAGGTACGTACGAAGCAGATATGGGGTCTCCGCTCATTTTCTTTTTTTTTTACTTTTTTCTTCGTTTCGGAGCTAGCCATTATCATTGTGGCTAGCATTACCATAATCACATGACCATAATCGTCTGGACGTGGAAAGTAGGCACAGATCATCGAATATGCTTGAATAATGGTTCTCATATAGTCATTTTTAGTTAAACTATTATACGAGCCATTAACGTAAAGGCACGATAGAGATAAATGACATGCCTTCAAATATTCACATGGCATAGTTGAAATCCTGTAGCTTCATTGGTTGTCATTAAGTGTGTATGCTTTTTAACTGTCCTGTGTGCAATGTTAATGCTATATATGGTGCTGCTCTAGTTAACAGTGTTTTATAAGCCAGCTATTTGACATATGGGACCCTTTTTAAAGTCAGATAAATCATTCAAACGTAATTATTCCATGTATATATTGCCGCATTTTGATGCATTAAAACTTTATGCTTTCCCAATATCAAAAGAATAAATGTGCACTTCATTGCCACTAACCATTTCTTCACGGACTCCCTCTCACCACCCGGTATAGGTGGCTGAATTTCTCAGCTCCATTGCCTTCACGTGCTGCTCTGCCTCTGTTCGGTACCTCCGCATGTCTCCTGTCTGTCTCCTCTCCCTCACACCTATTGAGGAAGGGCTGAGGCACGGAGAGATTGAGACAATCAACGTCTCTGCCGCCTCCAAAACCCTTCCCATCGGCTCTCTTGAGAGGCGGGCGTTGTTCCATTCAGGTCTGCGGAGTCGATGGATTATCGGTGACTCCGGCTCCGACTCCGCAACCCTGGTTCCGTTCACTTGTTGTTCCATCCACGTCGTGTTCACTGTTCAATTGAGAGTGAAAAAGGAACAGACCGCAGGAGTGCTTTCCTGGAAAAGCACGTCCGCCATATTGAATTGCGAATAGAGGCGGCCATCTTGCATGTACCATGTGTGGTAGCCGGTGAGGTAAACTCAGCTGGGATTTCCTGGTGGCTGGCATTTGTAGGTAATACCTGGAGACTGATGGGCTTTGCACATGTCAGAAGGCGAGTCATAGCCCTCTGTTCTTGGAACGAACCTCGATGGCGTCCCTTTTCTGGAGCAGGAAACGGCAAAAAATTGCCAGGTAATCTTGACAGTGCAGTAAAAGTGACTACATTAGTCTATAAACACGAAAAATCACTTGTTGTGGCCAGCAAACACAAAACAATAGCAAATCAGCCTCCAAATTCCCCAATAAGTACCCAAACTCTGTCCGTTCTCCAAAAATCCCCTGTAGATCAGCGTTCGTTTACACGAAAAAGTCTCTGAATATCCGGCCTGTGAAGATTATTGTCGCCAGATTTCCCCGGGTTTCTCCAAGGCCACACGCGCCGGTGATTGTGGATATCCCCAGGCGGGCGGGCTCGTGACTGAAAGAAACCACAGCTGACGTAGGAATACATCACGTCGCGCCCATCCCCTTGCCTTATCGGGCCCGTACCGCTGGTCGACGTAATTCCTCTAGAATGCAGGATCTGTTGTGACTGGTGATGTTAGCGGTTAGGTAATTCATCTACATTGAGTAGGCTAGTAAGTGAATCTTTGTCTAGTATTGCGGTAAACAAACACTTCATTAACCATTTTGCGTGCGGAAATTTCAAAATGACCATACAAGCTCGTGAATATGCCAATGTATCGGTGTTAAATAACTTTTTTTTCGGATACACCTCTGAGCATTTTATAGGTAGATATATTTTACTTCGAATCCCGTACCCATCAGGACGGTCAAAGTTGCCAATCACGCGTCACCGTTCCATCTAGATGAGTCGCAGCCGCCGCGGAGACCGGTTCTGCGCCGTAAGGCCTCCGCGGAAGTCACAGCCGCCCCCCAGTGACGTCATTTGTGTGTTGTACCGGCAGCAGCGCCCTGATAGCGGCGAGGCGTTCTGGGGCCTTCCCGGGTGGCGCGGGGCCCGCGGCGCAGGGGCGACTTCAGGCAGAGGGGTTGGGGGGGGGGGGTCGGCGCAGGGGCGGATTTGTTCATTTTGGAACATGGGGATAGGTGTACTCTGTCATGCAATCCTCGTTAGGGCTGCGGAGTCGCAGTCGAAGTTGGAGTCGGTCCGAGTCGATGGTTCTGACCGGAATGGGTGTCGATTTGGAAGTGTCAGTCTGAATCTGAGTCACCGAAATTCACCTACTCCGCGTCCCTGCTTCTGCTTCTTTAGGCATACATTGCCGATAAGAGTCGCGGAAATTTCATGGACTTTTAGCGATTAACTTGAATGGCTTAACTATAATGTGTTGAATGTCTGCAATGTTTTAGAGGGTTTGATCACGATTCGTCGACCGAGGCCCAGTTAAGCTATACGCCCATGCTATAATGAGTAACTTAGGTACATTTATTATCTTTGTTCCATGTATTAACAGTGACCCGAAGCAACGAACGAGCATTGAAGTTTATTTATTCACCCATGCTAACTGCTACAGTCACTGTCAGCCGGACTACAGAGGCCATTGCCAATAAATAAGCATGTGACTTTCGTATCGAGAGGACATTAGTGTGTATGCATTAGAGTTAGGATTGAGAGGGAATGATTGTCGCTCTCCTTTTCTCCCCTCGTCTCTCCTTTCTGTGCGGATTTCTACAAACTTTGCGAGCAAAATCGTCCGGGGAGGTTCTGGATCATGTGACAAAAAATGAGCTCCTGAGTGTATAGCGGAACCCCCTGAACCTTTAGGCCGCGGGCCCGACAGTTAACCAAACAATCTCAAAGTGATCACTGATCCGGCGTGACCACCGCGCCGGATACGTCTCTCTGCCGGGGAACTGCGCCACAATCGCTGACGCTTCTCTGAGTTCTCCGACTCTCCGGGCGGCCAGACGGTCACCGTATCAGCTTCGCGTGGGGTCGCTGGGGCTTGTGGGAAGTGGGGTGGGGGAGGGGGTGGGGGAAGGTCTAGTCAGAGTGGGCCGAGGGTAGTCATCCCTGTCATAGCTTTATGTCCACAATGTCGGGGATCTAGTGTGCGGCTGTTGTGAAACGCTGACCACTGTGCCTCGGTAACCGACGTGTTGTTGCAAATTGACCCTCTAGCTAGTTTGCACAGGCGAGGGTCAATGAGGCACTGAGGCACCTGCAGCCAAATGAATCCCAATACTTAGCAGACTATTATTGCTGGGAAATCCCCCACTCTTGCCAGGGAATTCCCCGAGCTGAGACGAAAGTGGCGCACGGCTGCGCCACCGCTGCCGCGCCGTTCTACGCCGCCGCCGCGGGCCGGCGCGGCGCTTTCGTCTTGTGTTCGTCACGATTGTCAATATTTAGAGGCGAGGCGCGGCGCGGGTTTCCCTGCAGATCTGGCGCCGCCGTCAGTTGCGCGTCCAGGGATCAGATCGGGGGAGGCAAGAGAAGTGGCGTGTCCAGGGTTTGGATTGGGGGGAGGGGAAGGTTAGAAAGGAGGCAGGACGCGCCTAGGGCTGAACTGGAAATGCTTTATGTCCGTAAAAAAGTGAGGCAGACTGTACTCTGATATGTTTGGAGGACTGCTTCATACAATTATACATTCCATTTAGTTGTTGGCATTTGAAAAGCAGGGACTTAGTCTATACATCACTCAACTATGTTTAAATTGACTGTGTTTCATCCACTCATAACATCACCCCTTCTTGTCGCATATTTTACTGGTGACAAAGGTAACTGATGTTGGTAATTACAAAGCATGGTGATGAATATGATTCCGACACTTTGTTGACATTTTTTGACAGCCATGACATGCTGCACATCAAAATTCACTGAGGAAGTGCCCGTTGATAGCTTACGGGGAAGCCGTGCGTTTTGTGGTATATGATACATCGCATTTCCCTTGTTATCGCGTCGTTTTCCCCTGCGAATGTCATCATCGCGCCATCATTGTCATCAACTCGTCACCAAGGTTACGGTGACGTAACAGCGGACTGTGGGGGCGTTTTCTATTCTTTTTCGGGTGTTTCGGGTGTTTTTTTTCGTTTCTTTTTTTTTAATCGTCAAGTCTGGTTTCACTTCATTTGTGCACATTTTATTAGCGTTAAAGAGAAAACTGTGCGCCCTTTTTTAAAATTGTCTGTTTGTGATAACTTAGTAGCTAAATGTACTCCACGAATGTACTCCACGGTATCCAGTATGGGCCGGTTCCGTATCCGGACACCGCCGTCGGTTCATACCTACCGCCTGGATCCGGACACTGGGTGGACTCCACCCCCGGGCAGCAGTCGCTCACAGTAGGTACTCGCTGTGCTACTCACAGCTCACAGTAGGTACTCACAGCTCACAGGAGGCACTCACAGTACTACTCACAGCTCACAGTAGGTACTCACAGTGCTACTCACAGCTCACAGTAGGTACTCACAGCTCACAGTAGGCACTCACAGTACTACTCACAGCTCACAGTAGGTACTCAGACTCACAGCTCACAGGAGGTACTCGCTGTGCGGTCTGTGGTGGACGAAATTGTCGGTAGTGGTACCTATCGATTCGCCAACCGCAGTCGGCGTGGGCGCGGCTTCAGCGGCATTTGACGTGTGCTAAACGCGCTGGTCATTGTGGCTATCAGACGGGGTTAATAACGGAACCCCACCTTGCCAAGGAAGCTCAAATAAATGATACAGTAGTCAGTGTCATTTCATGATAATAGTAAAGCTCCAACATTCATGAATTTATGCTTGTGTCTTGTATATAAGGGATGCCAATTTTT